TAAAAAATAGGACTGAAAAAAAAAATCAAATATAAAAATTAGAATCAAGCCCATTAATATTTTCTTAAAGTTTTTTTTTTTTAGAGACAAGGTCTTAACATTCACTAGCCCCAGTTTTGGAGGGAGGAGAGGATCCCCAGAAGCCTTTGCTGGTGGGCGTGGGGCTCTTCCTTTCCTCTCAGGCAGAGCAGCAGGCTTTGCTGAAGGGCAGTCTAGGTCCACACAGCTGCCAAGGGTGGCAGATGGGCACTGACTGCTGCATCACAGGCACTCAGTCAACACTAGCTGAGCACCAGTGAGCGAGTGAAAGGCAACCGGGAGCCTGGTGCCGGCCGGCAGTGCAGCTGAGTTCTCACATGGCCGGTTTACCATGCAGGTGCAAAGCCAGCCTCAATCAATCCTGCTGCACTCATGAAAGGAGCAGTAGAGGGCACTTTGCTTCAAGCAGGCTGCCCAAGAACTACGGTCACCTGCTCTACTGGTTGAAGAAAAAAAAGCAGGAGCGATGAGCACAGAAACCAGCCTGGCCCTGGATACCACTTGTGGTTGCAGAACTGCAGAGACAGCCCGTGGCGTCTCTACTGCCCAACATTGTGTACCCGGTGTGCAGCCAGGCTCCCTGTACGAGCAAGGACTTCCACCACCTGCCATCACTAAAGCTGAGGTAAGGCACTGGCAAAGCCAGAGACCTGGAGCTTTAATGCTGGTTGAGAACATACTTTCTCCTGGGAATGACAAGCACAGTGGCTGAGACCTTTGGCTGTCAAGTCAGACCAACCTACATTAGAATCTGCCTCTATTACTTTCTGTGTGTGCACAAACTTGAATGTGAACTTGGGCAAGCTACTTTCTCATGCATTCGCATGCAGTAGAACGGTAGTACCCCCCTTATCAGCTTGTTTTGGCATAAGACTGCATGAAGTGTTCAGAGCACTTAGTGCTAGCACACTGAACATAATCAGTTAGATGCCATTATTTTATACTGATTTACAGTAACAAGAACTCTGACCAATAAAGAATACTACGTCATAGGATGAGTATCAGGATCCAGTAAGAATACAGTATTTGCGAGACAGTTTGAGCAAACAGGTAAGGGGAGAGGCTTAAAGTATGATTTTCAGAAAGGCAAAAACATCTACTTGAGAGGCTGAGGTGGGAGGACTGCTTGAGGCCAGGAGTTTGAGGCTGCAGTGCACGAGTCACTGGCCTCCAGCCTGGGCAACACAGTGAGACCCCAGCTCCATAAACATGACTCTCTCACAGATGCAGAATGAACAATGAACACATAATATGTCAAAGTTTAAGCAACTTGCTAATGGGGCCGTTTCCAAAATACATCCTATAAAACCTAAGGGTAAATTTTTATGTGGTTTCACCCTGATAAAGTGTGCAGTAATCATTAAGATAGTTAAAACCTGTTTCTATAAAATGTTTCCCAGTTGCAGTCATTCTTTATCCAATTAAATATTTTATTTCTGGCCAGGCATGGTGGGTCACGCCTGTTAATCCTAGCACTTTGGGAGGCCGAGGTGGGTGTATCATCTAAGGTCAGGAGTTCAAGACCAGCCCAGCCAACATGGGGAAACCCCGTCTCTACTAAAAATACAAAAAAATTAGCCAGGCGTGGTGGTGCACGCCTGTAGTCCCAGCTGCTTGGGAGGCTGAGGTGTGAGGATTATTTGAACCTGGGAGGCAGAGGTTGCAGTGAGCCGAGACTGCGCCACTGCACTCCAGCCTGGGCAACAGAGTAAGACCCTGTCTCAAAAAAAAAAAAATTATTTCCACCTTCCATTAGTTAAAAAAGTTATAAACTAAATGCTAAATGCAGTTAGTTTTCAGCAGTATATACTTTAATATTTTATTAAATACATGTAAAACACTTGGTCATGTTGTAAAACAAAATTATAATTTTAAAAACCAATCTTCTCATTCCCAAAAGCCCAATGCTAGGGCTTTATATATTCATACACATATTTACTGAAGAAACAGAACTTCCATTATCACACTGCTGGCCTCATCAATAACTCACACATTCAGCTAAACATTATATTCTATTATTTAAATTAGGTAATGAGAAACAGACTATTTGCTCTATATAATTTTAATCTTGACTTTACTGCAATTTCCAGAAATTGGATGAATTAAATCTGCAATCCAAGACTTTGGCAAATATGCACTGAACACTTCATAAAAATATTGCACTGACAAAGATGTGCTGAAATCACTGCTTTGATTCTCCCCCCAAACCTTTCTGAGTATGTCAGATTGAGCTGTTTCTAAGAGTGGAAAAGCAACAGGTGGAGTTCATAGTTAGCTGCTAAGTCCTGGGAAACCTTTTATATTTAATTCTCAGAAATAGAGAAACTGGATGACTTTAGTGATTGAATAACAAATCCTTTTAGAAGTCAAGTGGTTCCTCATCGTTAGCTTTCAATAAAATTGAAAGAATTATGAGATGGTAGACTAACAGAAGTAATACTGATTATAGATAACTGAACATTTTGCAACATAACTTGAAAGAAATTTTTTTTTTGAGATAGAGTCTCACTATGTCACCCAGGCGGGAATGCAGTGGCACAATCTTGGCTCATTGCAACCTCCGTCTCCCCTGTTTAAGCGATTCTCCTGCCTCAGCCTCCCCAGTAGCTGGGATTACAGGCGTGTGCCACCATGCCCAGATGATTTTTTTGTATTTTTAGTAGAGACAGGGTTTCACCATGTTGGCCAGGCTGGTGGTGAACTCCTGACCTCAAGTGATTAGCCTGCCTCAGCCTCCCAAAGTGCTGGGATTACAGGCATGAGCCACAACGCCCAGCCAGAAATTAAAGAATTAAGTGGTGTTAATATAATAAAACTCCTCTGTTCCTTTTTCCTATGTGAACAAGATTTTTCAGAAATTATATTAATAAAATTAAAAACTGGAATAGAATTGTCCAACATTATCTTATGCTATTAGTAAAAGGTATTCAACTCATCCACTGATAGATAAACCAACTGGGAAAATAAATCCCCATCTATCCGAGATGAATTTTCTTTTTTTTCTTTTTTGAGATGGAGTCTCGCTCTGTCACCCAGGCTGGAGTGCAGTGGTGCGATCTTAGCTCACTGCAAGCTCTGCCTCCCGGGTTCCCGCCATTCTCCTGCCTCAGCCTCCCGAGTAGCTGGGACTACAGGCGCCGCCACCTCAACCAGCTAGTGTTTTGTATTTTTTTAGTAGAGACGGGGTTTCACCATGTTAGCCAGGATGGTCTCCATCTCCTGACCTCGTGATCTGCCCGTCTCGGCCTCCCAAAGTGCTGGGATTACAGGCTTGAGCCACCGCGCCCGGCTGAATTTCCTTTTTAATGCATTATTACTAGAAATTTTAAACATTCAAGGAAGAGAGGGTAATATAATGGACTCTCATCAGTTTTAACAGCTATCAATCTTCTGCCTGAGAAACATAAAGAACTTCATAAATGCAAGGTATTTTTATTTAAGCAATCTAGAAATTCTTAATGATCACCAACTTTCCAGTGTGAATATGGCTTTATTTTACAGGTAAGATATTCCCTTTGTGAAGAAGCATAGGCATATGTGTTTTTAAAATCCAGTGGTTTTTTTTCTTTTGTTTTTTTAAGTTTGGCGAGGTTTTAATGAGCAAGAGTAAGGGCTGAAGTGAGGAGGAATTACGCTGTCACCTGGCTCTGGGAATCCCATGGTCATGCAGAAACAGGGATTCCTTGTCAACAGGGAGCCTGGTTATCACCCTCAATTGCACTCATTTTGGTCAGGGAGACATCTCTCCACACTTGCACCATCTTCACAGACTCAGGTGGGATTCGATGGTCAAAGCTCTACAAGCATCGGCCACTGACCATTACTACCTGGTACTTATTGTCCAGCACCAAGATGCTCAGGTCAAATTCTTTGCTATCCTGAAAGGGCATAGTTTTGGATTTCACCTCAGGCTTCCAGGCCCCATTGTCATGCTGTTTGTGACCACACAACGGCCAAAGTACACTTAGAAACGGAAGGTGATGTCTGAGTCTTCATTCATCCTGGTATGGAAATCCACCTGCAGCTGTGGTTCATTGATGAAACAAACAGCTAGTTTTCCTTTGTCAAGTAGAACCAACAGACAAGAGCACAGCCTGTGTGTGTGGCGCAAGTAGTGGTGACACTGTTGTCTCCCTCTGGGTGGCCCTTCTGAATTGTGTTTAGTATTCTTTTTTTCTTTTTGGGATGGAGTCTCGCACTTTTGCCCAGGCTGGAGTGCAGTAGCGTGATCTCGGTTCACTGCAAGCTCCACCTCCCAGGTTCATTCTCCTGCCTCAGCCTCCGGAGTAGCTGCGATTACAGACATCCGCCACCACGCCCGGTTCATTTTTTTTTTTTGGTATTTTTAGTAGAGATGGGGTTTCACAGTGTTAGCCGGGATGGTCTCAACCTCCTGACCTCGCGATCTGCCCGCTTTGGCTTCCCAAACTGCTGGTATTACAGGTGTAAGCCACCATGCCTGGCCCTGATTTTTTTTTAAGAGTGGGTGGGTTAATTTGCTTGTCATAACTAGCGTTTCGTCTTTCTCTCTCACTCTGTTAGGGCAGATGCAGACAGTGTTTGTTTAAGAAAAATTAGCCAAGTGTGGTGGCACACGCCTGTAATCCCAGTACTCTGGAAGCTGAGGCGGGAGAATTGCTTGAACCCAGGAGGCGTGGATTTCGGTGAGCTGAGATCACACCATTGCACTCCAGCCTGGGCGACAGAGTGAGACTCCATCTCCGAGAAAACAAACAAACAAAAAGACTTTCTAAGTCATTCTCTCTCCTTTTGAAAGTCTGTGTAATATTTACCAGTAAAATATTTTAAGGCCTTACCTTTTGGAATTTTTTGCACATTTTTGACAGCTGCTCAGTGTCATCCAAACCAAGAAAAGAGAAGATCTGTATGATTATGCTGTCAGGCATTTGAACTAACAAATCAGAATTTCCCTGACACAGATTCAAAGAACATGTCAATACTTCTTTAACAAAATTTGTATTTAATAAATGGTTAAAATCGCAGTGCCAAAAAGACATTAACATTTAACAATTTCACTGAAAGGAAGAAACTGTAGAATGCACGGTTTCAGAAAGCTATTTTAAGTTATTTACAAATAAAGTATCTAAAACTCAAAGACAGGCTCTATATGCTATACCTAGTTTATCCCTTCCCAAATAAAATTTCTGTTATTTGGGCAAATTCTTAAACCATGGTTTAAACTGTAATGGTTACAAACCACAAATGCATCCATCCAAAGACTGTGAAACCATTTTCATCCGGTCAGTGGCAAAACTGTTGAAAGGGCAATAGTTGAAGCTGTTGGGTTTTAAATACTGGGAACTCTGGTATATATTCCTACCAGGACTAAAACACAGCACACTCTGCAGGCATGGCTGACTCACGGAGGCTGTAACAAACAAGAACTACTCTTTACTCGACAGCACAGCTCAGAGGCCACCGAGAGGCACGAGAGACTGACAGCTCCTCTGCCTATAAATGAATGAAACCCACACTGGATGTCGTTCTCACAGCACTGAAAGTGCTTCAGGACTCACACTGATCCAATACTAACTTTCTTCCCTATTTTACACATATTTTTCTACTGTCCAGTGAAAATCATTTTCTGTTTTGGCTGAAAAACAAATATTAGTTTATAACAGGAATGGTAAAATCCGTGAGAATTCTGCTCAATTTAATACAAGATCATTACTTTCTTTAGAATGGTGTCTGCGTGTTTCTGTGTCACCCTCTGTATTTTTAGCTTCCAGTTTCCTGGTAAGGAGTAAGTTCTCCTTTCCAGTCACACTCGGGGTCCTTTACACGTTTCTGAGATTCCTTCGCTTGTCCATGGAGGCCAGGTGCACCCAGTGACTCACTCTGCCTCTTCCCTCTTCTCGGGACCAGTCCCCGAACCTTCTGCCTTGCAGATCCTCCCACCTCCGCCACGCTCTCGTGCTCGGAAGCGAGCTCCTGGATCATACAGCTGCAAGGCCGGCCGGTCCTGCCAGGATAAGAGGGCATGTTACTCTTCCAAGGGCTGGCAACACAGAAGGGTCAACATCTCCTTGTATTTCTAGAACTTGATAATATGAATTGTCCAAAGAAAATCAACCTGGCAGCTAAAAATCAGCCCTTTTCACAGCACTCTCTCAGAATTCTCAGGCAATTTAAAAAGCCACGTAAATGTCGGTTATCTGGGCAAATGTTACTGCTCACACCAAGAACACCTTGTAATCTGAGCTGGGGAGGTGAAAACTCAAACATGTCCACCTCAGTCCCTAGGCCTGAAACAAAATGAGATGTGGACCCTCAGAGATGGCTTCAGATCTGCGAACTCAAACTGTTATTAACGTGAGTGGTAAGCAATTTCCACGGGGCTTATCCCTGCCTAGCATCTACCAGCAGGGAAACTGAACTGCTCCCTTTTGGGAAAACACTAGCCCATCATTTTATTAAATTCCTGGAGGCAAAGCAATAAAAATGAACCAAAAAATCCATGAAGGGTAACTGTTCAGGGCCTGAAGGTAACAGCCAGGGAAGCACAGAGTGGCCCTGAAGGCCAGAGTCAGCAGCGACAGCAGCACAATTCCTCCCTGACGGGGCCACCAGCCCTGCCCCAGCACTGAAGGGGTGGCAGAGGAGGAAGGTGGCTTCCCGCTTCCCGAGGCCTGTAGCCTCCTGCTCCATGTGCCTCCCGCTCCCTGCCTATTCTCCCTGCTGAGCTGCAGCCTTGGCCTCCAACAGTCACCAGGAGCCCAAGTGTGGGCTGCAAGGACGACCATGTGGGCACATCTCACACACTTCTCCAGGATTCACCAGCTCACCTTTACCTTCTCCTGGACTGTGTGTGGAAGCCCACATCAGGTTGCCATCAAGGGGTTTAACTGAATTTTCTTTTCCTTGGTATGAACCTGACCAACGGGAGGGGTGCGAACAGGCTCAGCAGGCCCCTGCACCTGAATGCTCCTGTGGGGCGGAGACAGGCTGCCTGGAACCAGCATGCACAGCTTTTTTTTTTTTTTTTTCCTGAAACAAAGTTACACTCTGGTTGCCCAGGCTGGAGGGCAACTGCGCAATCTCGGCTCACTGCAACCTCCGCCTCCTGGGTTCAACTGATGCTTCTGCCTCAGCCTCCTGAGTAGCTGGGACTACAGGCGCGCGTCACCACGCCCGGTTAATTTTTATATTTTCAGTAGAGATGGGGTTTCGCCATGTTGGCCACGCTGGCCTCGAACTCCTGACCTCAGGCGATCCACCCGCCTCTGCCTCCCAAAGTGCTGGGATTATAGGCGTGAGCCACCACGCCCGGCCGACAATTCGGCTTCTTACCAGGGCAGTACCTGTGTACACAGATGGAGCATGGAACCTGACCTCAGAAGTACATGACCAATGCCAGGCTCCCGGGAAAGCAGCTCCTGCACACATTCCCACCACAGCACTGTGAGGCTACACAGAGGAGCGAATGCTCCCCCACCTCAGGTCAGGGGAGCACCAGGCCATTCACCACTGCTAAAATAAGGCAACTGAAAACTGAGGACTCCCTGTCGATGAGACCCATGGCTGTACTTTGTGCCCCCAAGGTCCAGGCAACCCCAGAAAACTGTGGAGTATTCTAGAGGTGTTTATTCAAGGGTGAAGACAAGAAGGCTCTCCTCTGGCTTTCGGCCTCGACTTCACTGAAACATTTTTTTTTTTAGACGGAGTTTTGCTTTGGTTGCCTAGGCAGGAATGCAATGGCGTGATCTTGGCTCACTGCAACCTCTGCCTCCCAGTTTCAAGTGATTCTCCTGCCTCAGCCTTCTGAGTAGCTGGGATTACAGGCACGCGCCACCACGCCCAGCTATTTTTTGTATTTTTAGTAGAGATGGGGTTTCGCAATGTTGGCCAGACTGGTCTTGAACTCCTGACCTCAGGTGATCCACCCGCCTCGGCCTCCCGAAGTACTGGGATCACAGGCATGAACCACCACACCCGGCTACACTGAAACACTTTAAAAGTGAACATCGTTCCTACACACAACAACCTGGAAGGATCTGAAAGGAATTAGGCTGAGTGACGAGAGCCACTCTCAAAGCTCACACACTGTGTGTTTGCACTCATCAAGCATTCTTGAAATGACAAAATCACAGAGGCAGAGAACAGACAGTGGCTGCCAGAGGTCAGACATGGGGAGGGAGGTGAGTGGGAATGCGAACCTGAGGCAGCCCTCAGTTTGCTGGGAGCCGGGGTGGGGCCTGGTGCTGTCAGAAGGGTGATGCCGTCTGTAGTGCTGCGCTGGGAAAACGCAACCTGAACAAAAATCAGCTTCAAACTTCTGAAAAAAAAAGCTGTTTGCTTGGCTAAGGGGGTAACCACAGTCCTGTGCTCAGCGTCTGTGCAGAACTAACTTCAGGTGTTTGTCAGCCACGGGAATATTCACTAATAATCAGAATGTTATTGATAATGTGGAAGAAACCTCCATGAAATATTAAAACTTTCCTTCCTGTCTCAAGGGAAAATTTAATCTTATTCTCAAGTGAATCATACAAACGTGCTAGTTTTATACTAAATAAAATCTTTCTTTTTCCTGGTGAAAAATAATTGGACTCTCTGAGAAAACATGATGACTAGTCTCACTCTAGGATCTGACTTTCAGGAATAACGAGCTTCCCAAGACACAAGGCCAAGTGGGGGTGACACGGTCAGCGTGCAACCTGGACCTTAAGACAGCCAGACAGATTTTTCTTTTTGGGTTTAATAAAAACCTTGTTTGCCAGTCGCTCCTTTCTGGGTGCTGGACCGTCGTCACACCTCTGTGCTCTTCCCAGTCTCTCCATGGCCTCCCCCGGAGCCCCGCTGTCCTGGCTCCCCTTCTTCCCTCTGTCTTGGCCAGGTCCTTTCCCCCATCTCTGCTCATCTTCACTCCTTCTGGAAAGCCAGTCAGGCTCGTGGTGAGCTCTGTGCCTCCTGCCGTCATCCACATGGTGTCTTTGTGCTTCACATTCTTTTTCTTGAGATCTCTCCACATCCCTGTACTCTTTATCACTGCCGCTGCGTGACCTGTGGTTCAACCCAAGCATCAGCGACTGCAGTAACCGCCAGTCGGCTGCTCACCCTCCTTTCTAGCCTGCAGGTTCCCAGACAACAGGGGCCCGTGTCAGCACTGCACTGCTGAGGCTGCACTGTGATGGGCACACAGCAGGCACTGACAAAAACCACTACAAAGAAGAATAAATCATAGTAATAATATTTGTCATTTCAGTTGAGTGACAGATAAGCAATATGCCTCACGCTAAGGTACTTTTTATACATATTGTCTAATTCTCACTAACCTTCCAAAGTAAGTATCTTCTTTCGGCCAGGCATGGTGGCTCACGCCTATAATCCCAGCACTTTGGGAGGCCAAGGTGGGTGGGATCACCTGAGCTCAAGAGTTGGAGACCAGCCTGGTCAACATGGTGAAACCCCCTCTCTACTGAAAATACAAAAATTAGGTGGGTGTGGTGGCGCGTGCCTGTAATCCCAGCACTTTGGGAGGCCAGGGGCAGGCAGATCATTTGAGGTCAGGAGGTTGAGAGCAGCCTGGCCAACATGAAGAAACCCCGTCTCTACTAAAAATACAAAAATTAGGCCAGGTGCAGTGGCTCACGCCTGTAATCCCAGCACTTTGGGAGGCCGAGGCAGGCGGATCACCTGAAATCAGGAGTTCGAGACCAGCATGACCAACATGGAGAAACCCCATCTCTACTTAAAATACAAATTTAGCCAGGCACGGAGAGGCATGCCTGTAATCCCAGCTACTTAGGAGGCTGAGGCAAAAGTGCATGAACCCAGCAGGCGGAGGTCGTGGTGAGCTGACATCATGCCATTGCACTCCAGCCTGGACAACAAGACGAAAATTCCATTTCAAAAAAACAAAAAACAAAAATTAGCCAGGCGTGGTGGCGCGTGCCTGTAATCCCAGCTACTCAGGAGGCTGAAGCAGGAGAACTGCTCAAACGTGGGAGGCAGAGGTTGCAGTAAGCCGAGATCGTGCCACTGCACTCCAGCCTGGGCGACAGAGCGAGACTTTGTTTATCAAAAATAAAATAAAATAAAATAAACCTTCTTTTCTACAAAGTGACTGAGACTAAAGTGGTCCAGTGGCTGTCCTGGGAGCCCAGGTGCACATCCATCATGATGTGCAGAGTAAAATTAATTGACATTTAACAATGGCAGATCCATTATCTTTATGCATTTATCAGAATATTAAATGAATAGTAAATAAATGGCTGCTTCGCTCATTTGGCAGGGCTAGTGGGGACCATGAGGATCTGTAACCAAGCATGAATTCACACCAGACACGTGGCAGTGTCAAGAACAGTCACAGTAACGACACCCATAACATAACCCAGTGCTTCACAATCACGGATTTGATAATCAGACATAAATTTTATAAACAAAGCAATAAACCAAAACCCCCAAGAAGCAGAAAGAATACTTCATCAACTCTGAAAGAAAGGCAGTGAAAAATCACCCCTACGACTGTGACTCTGGGAAGCTGGCGGCCTAATCCCATTAGTCTTCCCAAGTAAAACCCACGTCCACCATCCCCTGCGAGCCAGGTGGCCCTGGGCACCAGGAGACCGTGGGTGGTGAGATGTGGTGAGTGGGCAGGAGTCCCAGAGGGGAAGGCAAGCCCAGGGACCCAGGGTCCTGAGGATGGTGGGTGCCAGAAGCAAGAGGGACAAGATCCCCCGACTGGCATCTGGCTGGTCTCTCTGGCCCACCAGGTAGATGCTGCTGTGTCTGTCCCTTTTGCAGATGAGCTCCCTCCACAGAGCTGCTCCCTCCACAGAGCTGCTCCCTCCACAGAGCTGCTCCCTCCACAGAGCTGCACTGTTGTAAGCAGCAAAGGAAAAGAAAAAGGGAGGACCCGCAGTGCACAGCCAAAGCTGCTGGTCGAGACCCACAGCCGGAGGAGCCAGGGACAGCTTCAACCAAAGAATCACAGCACTTACAATTCTGTTTCTCTACCACAAAAGATCTGCCAGCCCTAAAAGATGGGGTTCCCAAATATGCAATTCTGTAGATAAATTGCAAGGGGGCTAAAAGAGCGAAGGGCAAGATATCACAAACACAGAGAAAAATAAAAACAAAAAACAGAAAAGAAAGAAAGACTGGGAAGACAGATCCTGAAGACCTGACATGCAACAGCAGGAATCCAGGAGATGGCTCAGGAGTAAAAGGAGGACACGGAGGGAAAAGCAAAGCAAAAGACAGGAAGAAATTCCCTGATCTGAAGACAGACTTGAGACTGCAGACGAGGCGAGTTCACTAAGTTCCTGCCATGCTGACGGGAAATGAAGGCTAATGTGCACTCGCACACCCTGGAAAGTCTGGGATTCCAAGAATAACGTGAAACAGGCATACTCGTATTGACAAGGCCTACGTCACCATGACTGGGAACTGACGCGGTCATAACAACAAAAGCACGCTCACGTCTCCTGGGACTCCTCCAGCGAGCCTTCCACGGGCCTGCCACCTCCAGTATCAATCTCCTCTCCTCTTTCTTTTGGTTTCTCTGTGGTTGGTTCCTCTCCCTTTTCTGGTTTCTTAAGAAGCTGAGAAATTACAACGTTAGTAAAATATCACCTCAAGAGCACATTTTAAAAGAAGCTGTTAAATAAATAATTACAAATATACCCCAATATTGAAGCCAAATGTTTGCAAGGCAAAGAATTAGAGCTAACAGTCCAAAAGTGAGGTTTTTGGTTTAATACATGGTGGAACATTCAGTGAATGAAATATTTTTTAGTCATGAAAAGGTAGGTTAATGTGATGCAAAGATGCTCACGTAACGAATAAAGGGCTAAAAAATAGAACATGCACCACAACCCCACTTGTACTTTTCTTTTTTTTTTGAGACAGTCTTGCTCTGTTGCCCAGGCTGGAGTGCAGTGGCGCACTCTCGGCTCACTGCAGCCTCTGCCTCCAGGGTTCAAGCGAGTCTCCTGCCTCCACCTTCTGAGTAGCTGGGACGACAGGCATGCGCCACCACGCCCGTTTAATTTTCTTTTTTTTTTTTGAGACGGAGTTTCACTCTTGCTGCCCAGGCTGGAGTGCAGTGGCACGATCTTGACTCCCTGCAACCTCCTCCTCCCGGATTCAAGTGATTCTCCTGCCTCAGCCTCCCAAGCAGCTGGGATTACAGGCGCCCACCAACACGCTCGGCTAATTTTTTGTATTTTTAGTAGAGATGGGGTTTCAGTATGTTGGCCAGGCTGATCTCGAACTCCTGACCTCAGGTGATCCACCCACCCTGGCTTCCCAAAATGCTGGGATTATGGGCGTGAGCCACTGTGCCCGGCCCCCATGTCTATTTATGTTCTCGCACACTCACACACACACACAAACTCTCACACACACTCACACACACACTCACACTCGCACACTCACACACACACAAACTCACACACACTCACACTCGCACACTCACACACACACAAACTCTCACACACACACACACACTCACACTCGCACACTCACACACACACAAACTCTCACACACACACTCACACTCGCACACTCGCACACTCACACACACACACACACCCACCACCATCTAAAGGGCTCTGCAGTACTGTTAATAGTGATTATTTCCTTTTTTGAGATGGAGTCTCGCTCTGTCGTCCAGGTTGGAGTGCAGTGGCACAATCTCGTCTCCTGGGATCAAGCGATTCCACTGCTTCAGCCTCCCCAGTAGCCAGGACTACAGGGTGTGCCACCACACCTGGCTAGTTTTTGTAGTTTTTGTTTTTTGTTTTTTTTGAGACAAAGTCTCACTGTCACCCAGGCTGGGGTGCAGTGGCTCAATCTGGGCTCACTGCAACCTCTGCCACCCTGGTTCAAGCAATTCTCCTGCCTCAGCCTCCTGAGTAGCTGGGATTAAAGGCTCCTGCCACCGTGCCTGGTTAATTTTTGTATTTTTAGTAGAGATGGGGTTTCACCATCTTGGCCAGGCTGGTTTTGAACTCCTGACCTCATGATCCACCCACGCTGGCCTCCCAGAGTGCTGGGATTACAGGCGTGAGCCACCATGCCTGGCCAATAGTGATTTATTTCTAGATGGCAGAACTGAAATGACTTTATTTCCTTTCATATATAGGGTCTAGTTTTCCTAAAATAGACAAGCATTAGTTTTGTAATAAGGAAAAAAAATTTTTTAAAAGGTTGCTTCCTACTGATAATTTAGAATATAGTTTTCAAAACACTGATTATTCTCTTTCCTGAAACAGAATAAATGGACAAATTGCCACGACATATTTCATCTGCCCTGTATGTCCCTGGGCCTTTCTCCCTGCTCTCTGCATAGTTTTTGAAACTAAAGCACCTCAGCTAACTTGGGAAAAGGGAGAAAAACAAACAAAAAAAGCAATGGAAGCACCACAGATCGATCATTTGTAGAACAGAAATGGAAGGTGTACTTCTGACAATTCTGTTCTCACTCACAAAGTGGACAAACTTTAACTTGCAGCACAGCAAGACCATACACAGACGCATTCAATTACACGTGCTCACTTGGGAACGCAACGCATCATGAAAGGTGGAGCCCTGGACGCGGCTTCTCATCAAGCGTGGGCCCTGTGTCAGCTGTGAACATCCTCTTATTCTGCCTACGTGGAATCTGGGAACTTACACATTTCCTTTCCGGTAACTGTCCATCTTTTATAAAAATCGCAACAGTAATATGTCTGTAACAAATGTGAGCCATAGGGAAGTGCCAATCTCCATCCACCCACTCAACAAATACTCTGCGTGCCTAGGAACTGTTCTCACAACATTTCTGACACTGCATGTCTTTTTCTGTACCAACTCTCCACCTCTCCACCTCTCCGGCACCAGCTGCGTGCTCCACATTCAACTCAACGCTGAGGCCATCGACCTGCGGTTAGCACCAGAACCCACAGACTGCCCCCTTCAGATGACAGTTCCAAGTCCTGGAGTGTCACCGGTACTTCTGACCAATCAGCAATAAATTCAGAGGTTCTCGACGGCCTCTCCTCAGATTTGATAAGTTGCTGAAATGGCTCATGAACTCTGAAAGGCACTGTCTTCTCGATAATTGGCTTATCATAGGATACAACCAGGAACAGCCAAACGGAAAAAATACACAAGGTGGGTATGGGGGATGGCGCAGCAGTGCTTGGAGCTTCCGTGCAGTAACCCTCCCAGCAAGCCCCGCCCTTTTTTTTTTTTTTCCTGGAGACAGAGTCTTGCTGTCACCCCAAGCTAGAGTACAGGGACGCAATCTCGGCTCACTGCACCTTCGCCTCCTGGGTTCAAGCGATTCTTCTGCCTCAGCCTCTTGAGTAACTGGGACTACAGGTGTGCGCCAACACGCCTGGCTAATTTTTGTATTTTTAGTAGAGATGGGGTTACACACCATGTTAACCAGGCTGGTCTCAGACTTCTGACCTTGGGATCCACCCGCCTCGGTCTCCCAAAGTACCGGGATTACAGACATGAGCCACTATGCCTGGCCCCCGGAAGCCCTGTCTTTAGGCATTATTAAGGTTTCATGATACAGGTGTGATTAAGTCACTGGCCAATGGTGACCTCTCTCTAGGCCCTCTGCCCTCTGCTAGGATGGGACTGAACGTCCCAACCCTCTAGTCCTGCCTTAGTCTTTCTGCCAACTAGTCCCCATCCTGAAGCTGCCTGGGGCCTCCATCCCCCAGTCCTCTCATTGGCATATAAGATACTCACATTACTGCGGATGTCCGGGGTCTGAGGAGCTGTGTGCAGGAACCAGGGACTAAGACCCTGTGCTAGGCACTAGGGAATGGCTATGAATGAGACAGGGGTGCCCCTGCCTTGAAGGAACTCGCACCTGATGCTCCACCTGAGGCAATGGTGGTCAAGGGGAGGAAACAAAGGAATAGGATAGCCTCAGACAGCAGCTACGAACACACGAAGGGAGAGTAAAGCAGCAGAGACGCAGGAAGAGGAGGGTCCAGGAGGACTCTCTGCAGAGCCAAGACGGGAACTAAGACCAGATGCCAAGAAGGAGCCACGGGCACATCTGGGGAAGTCCCTGTGGAGGCCTAAGGTGGAATCCGCTGGTACATTCAGGAGAAACCAGCAGGCCAGAGCCGCTGGAGACGAGCTGGGGAGCAGGCCAGCTCTGCTACGCCCTGAGAGGCTTCCGGAGGCCAACCAGAGTGCACGGGCAGCTGAGCTCCCTCCCAGCCCTTGCCTGTGTGTGTTCACCCATGTGGCCACACATAAGCTCACTGCTTAGCATCCTCAGAGGAACATTAAACAGCTGAGCTGTCTGTGTGCCATATTTCTTTTTTTTTTTTTTGAGACAGAGTCTTGCTCTGTCGCCCAGGCTGGAGTGCAGTGGCGCAATCTCGGCTCACTGCAAGCTCTGCCTCCTGGGTTCATGTCATTCTCCTGTCTTAGCCTTCCAAGTAGCTGCGAGTACAGGATCCCGCCACCACGACCTGCTAATATTTTGTATTTTTAGTAGAGACGGGGTTTCACCACGTTAGCCAGGATGGTCTTGATCTCCTGACCTAGTGATCCGCCCGCCTCCAGCCTTTCTGAGGCGGAGTCTTGCTCTGTCGCCCAGGGTGGAGTGCAGTGGTGTGATCTCAGCTCACTGCAACCTCTGCCTCCCGGGTTAAGCAATTTTCCCGCCTCAGCCTCCCGCGTAGCTGGGACTACAGGTGTGCGCCACCAAGCCCGGCTAATTTTTGGAATTTTTAGTAGAGACGGGGTTTCAACCTGTTAGCCAGGATGGTCTCGATCTCCTGATGTTGTGATACGCCCACCTCGGCCTCCCAAACCATATTTCTCTTTATTAAGAATAGCCACGAGGGCTAGGCATGGTGGCTCATGCCTCTAATCCCAGCAGCAGGAGGATCACTTGAGCCCAGGAGTTCAAGACTAGCTTGGACAACACAGTGAGATCCCCATTTCTACAATTTTTTTTAAATTAGCTGTTCAGGTATGATGGTGCACCCTGTAATGGGAGGCAGAGGCAGGAGGATCACTTGAGCCTGGGAGGTAGAGGCTGCAGTGAGCTGTGACTGTGCCACTACACAGCCTGGGTGACACATTGAGACCCTGTCTCAAACCCCCCACAAAAACCAAACAAAAAAATAGCAAAAAAGTCATGAGCCATCTGTCTTTAAGCTGTTGATACACCTTCTTTTGCATTCCTCCACAGATTCCATTTTTCAGGCATTAAAAAAATTTCAATGTTCCACATGATTTAGAAGTGAAAGACCCCCATACTGAGCACAGATGCTTATTAAAAGCTAAACCAGGCCAGGCACAGTGGCTCAGGCCTGTAATCCCCAAACTTTGGGAGGGTGAGGCAGGAGGATCACTTGAGTCCAGGTGTATGAGACCAGCCTGGGCAATATAGTGAATAGAAACAGGGTCTCTCTCTGTTGCCCAGGCTGGTCTTGACCTCCCAGGCTACAGCAATCCACCCACCCTGGTCTCCCAACGTCCTGAGATTATAGGCACGAGCCATCATGCCCAGCCAACTTTTCTGTTTTTGACTGACCATATCAGAAACAAATCTATAGTTCAATGATCTCTTCCCCACCCTTTCCTAACCTACCTTCTTTCCCCAAGTCCTGACATTTTTTTTCCTTATACAATTTTATTGAATATAAGGTATTCGATAAATAATAAGTAATATTGAATATGCCTTAAATCCTTCATGGAGTGATACCTTAGGTCTAAATCTAGGTTTAATCCTGAGAAGACAATGGCTGGTCCCAATTCTGGCCAACACATTTCACACAGAGAAAAATTCCCTCTGTGTATTAAACCACCATCATCAATGAATATATCAGTCACAAGAAAAACTCAGCAAGAAATACAGAAACTCATTAGTGCTACCACAACAGAAACGATAAAACCTAGTTCTATGAGTCAGCCTTCACACAGAAAGGCAAAACCAGTGGTTTTCAAATGTGTACTTTTTAATCAGGAAAACTTTTTTTTGAGACAGAGTCTCGCTCTGTCGCCTGGGCTGGAGTGCAGTGGCTCGATCCCGACTCGCTGCACCCTCTGTCTCCTGGGTTCAAGCAATTCTCCTGCCTCAGCCTCCTGAGTAGCTGGGATTCCAGGCACACGCCATCACGCCCGGCTTATTTTTGTGTTTTTGGTAGAGACAGGGTTTCACCATATTGGCCAGGCTGGTCTCAAACTCCTGACCTCAAGTGATCCGCCTGCCTTGGTCTCCCAAAGTGCTGAGATTACAGGTGTGAGCCACTGTACCAGGCCAGGAAATTATTATTATTATTATTATTTTGAGATGGAGTCTCGCTCTGTTGCCCAGGCTGGAGTGCAATGGTGCGATCTCGGCTCCTGCAACCTCTGCTTCCGGGGTTCAAGCGATTCTCCTGCCTCAGCCTCCTGAGGATTCAAGCGTTTCAAGCGTTCGCCACCACACCCGGCTAATTTTTGTATTTTTAGTAGAGACAGGGTTTCACCATGTTGGTAAGGGTGATCTCAAACTGCTGACCTCGTGATCTGCCCGCCTTGGTCTCCCAAAGTGCTGGGATTATAGGAGTGAGCTCTCATGCCCGGCCAGAAAACTTTTTTCAAAAGGGAAATGTAGAGGGTGGAGAATAGGAGGAGGGTGAAGACTGAAAAACATCAGGTACTGTGCTGACTACCTGGGCAACAAAATTATCTGTACACCAAACCCCAGAGACACCTGATTTACCCACGTAACACACCTGCACATGTAGCCCTTGAACTGAAAATGAAAGCTGGAAAGTTAAAAAAAAAAAAAAGACAGTGTCAGCAGCAGCCCGACGTGTGCCAGCGTGGGGCTCCTGTGGGGGTGTGCTCCCCACTGCACACCCAGGAGGACAGGCGCCCACAGCAGCCTGAGGACTCCCAAGGCTCAGGACACAGTGTGAAAACCACTGCTGTAGGATGGAAAAGATGGAAAAAAACACCACCACAATATTAGATTAATTCAGAATGTTTTCAAAATTCTAAAGAACTAAGATACGTAAAAAGTATAATTACTATAGCAGAACTATTTTTGGAAAAAGGAAATGTTTCCTCAGAATTACCTTAATCCTTACTTCTTTCTCTGCAATTTTCTTCTGTTTATCTGTCTCTTTTTTTTTGCATCTTTCTTCTTCTCTTCTTCTTCTTTTTTCCTCTTCCCGCAAACGTTTCTTTTCTAACTCTCTCCTCCTCCGTTCTTCTCGCTTCTCTTCTCGAATTCTCTAAAGACATGGAAGGGTGTGTATCTAAACCGCCTGGATGAGAACGGCAGCAGCAGGGAGGGTGTTCATGAGGTAAAGGCCAGACCTACCTGCTTTTCTAATTTTCTATTTTTAATATATTCCAAAAGAGGTGTTGTTCTTCTAGCTAAAACACAAAAGTTGTAATATAGTATTTAACTCCTAAAGAAAGATTATTTTAAATATTTGTTTTCAATTTGATCTTTAAAATAAATAAGGGAACAATATCATTACTTTTTAAATTTACATGATCACATACTGTCTCCAGGGGAGTTTTTATTCCATTACTATCATGTCAAGTAATTTGAAAGTATCAACAATTTTATACATAGTAAACATCTAACTCCTGATTCTTAAGGGAGGCTTAAAGTATTACAAAGATGATATTTTTGTAGGTACCTTAAATCATTAAATAACATATATTTACTTTGATACATCACATATTCTGAGAACTTTTTTGTTTTCCGTTCTCCAAGCAATGGTTTTAAATAACATGGATTCGTATAATGTCTTACAATATACACTCCATAAAATCCCAATGCTAAGACATACAACTCTGGATTGTAGTTTAAAAAATGACTCCACACGGGTTGGGCGTGGTGGCTCACACATGTAATCCCAGCACTTTGGAAGGCCGAGGTGGACAAATCACCTTAGGTTGGGAGTTCGAGACCAGCCTGACCAACATGAAGAAACCCCATCTCTACTGAAAAAATACAAAATTAGCCGGGCATGATGGCATGTGCCTATAATCCCAGCTACTTGGGAGGCTGAGGCAGGAAAATCGCTTGAACACGGGAGGCAGAGGTTGCAGTGAGCCAAGATTTTGTGCCACTGCACTTTAGCCTGGGCAACAAGAGTGAAACTCTGCCTCAAAAAAAAAAAGGAAGAAAGAAAATGACTCCACATGGCACTGCTGATTTCAGAAAAGGCACCAACTACTAGGGAATGAACATGTCTACAAACTCTATCTTGGTCCTCCGCTTTCATGCTGGACCTCTCAGATCTGACCTGGATGTGGGTGCCCAGGCAAGCTGGAGGCCCCACAGGCACTGCCTCTGAGGGACTCACGCTGAGGTGGACAGGCCCCACATCCCACCAACACGAGGACACAAACGGGAAGGGGGAAGATGGTCTGGGTCTATTCTGTGGGTAAGATCTCAGATTAAACAGCGTTCTGAAGAATCCCTGGATGCACCTGAAAACTGACACATCGTCTCTGGAATTCTGAGGACCAGGAATGAATCAGGAATCATAGGAGAAGCCCTGGCTGGGGGTCCCTCACTTGGAACTGAGGACCCTGACACCCTGACATCACAGATGAAATGGCACCTGTCCCAGAAGCCCTGCACCAGGGACAGTGGTTTAGGGAAGAGCTGATTGTCCCAGGAGTCCTGCCCCAGGCACAGTGGTTGTAGGGAAGAGATGACGCGGGTACAAATGCCACATTTCCTGGCAGACACAGTTGCTACAGAGAACCCACTCCCCAGAGGGGTCTCTGGGCTGACCATGAACTCTGGCTCAAGGTGAGTACAGCACACTGGCTCAGGTAAATAGTCGGCTCTTTATAATGGGCAAATTATCTCAAATCAGCCAGGGTTCTGCTCTGCTCTGTGAAAGGCCTGGACTTGTCAGCCAGGAGCAGGGCGAGACCACCTGGATGCGCGGGGAGGCTGAACCCAGACCCCGCTTGCCCACCTTCCTCTTCCTATAAAATGTCTGCCCCATCACCCACAGAGATCACAGCAAAAGTACGTAAGACCTGAATAAGAAAGTGTTCTACACATCATGAAAGTATGTTATTTATCAGACAGAATACGCACAACCATGCAACAGACCACAAGTAAACAGAAGCCTCAGAGATGAACCCGGACCTGTCTGCTCTAAAGGCCTATGCACCAGACTAACTCAACAACTTCAGAGTCCTTGTCAGCAAGAGCTTATTAATATTTCCATGTAAGGCCGGGCGCGGTGGCTCAAGCCTGTAATCCCAGCACTTTGGGAGGCCGAGGCGGGCGGATCACGAGGTCAGGAGATCGAGACCATCCTGGCTGACACGGTGAAACCCCGTCTCTACTAAGAAATACAAAAAACTAGCCGGGCGAGGTGGCGGGCGCCTGTAGTCCCAGCTACTGGGGAGGCTGAGGCAGGAGAATGGCGTGAACCCGGGAGGCGGAGCTTGCAGTGAGCTGAGATCCGGCCACTGCACTCCAGCCTGGGCGGCAGAGCGAGACTCCGTCTCAAAAAAAAAAAAAATTTTTCCATGTAATACTCGCTTCTCAGACCTGTTCAGAAGACTCCACTGGGCCGGGCGCGGTGGCTCAAGCCTGTAATCCCAGCACTTTGGGAGGCCAAGACAGGCGGATCACGAGGTCAGGAGTTCGAGACCATCCTGGCTAACACGGTGAAACCCCGTCTCTACTAAAAAATACAAAAAAAAACTAGCCGAGCGAGGTGGCGGGCGCCTGTAGTCCCGGCTACTCGGGAGGCTGAGGCAGGAGAATGGCGTAAAAACCCGGGAGGCAGAGCTTGCAGTGAGCTGAGATCCGGCCACTGCACTCCAGCCTGGGCGACACAGCGAGACTCCGTCTCAAAAAAAAAAAAAAGAAGACTCCACTGGAGGCCAAAAGCTTAGTAAAGAAAAAGGTAATCTGCCATGAATTGCCTAAAGTTCAATTTTTTTTTTTTTTTTTGAGACAGAGTCTCACTCTGTCACCAGGCTGGAGTGCAGTGGCGTGATCTTGGCTCACTGTGACCTCCACCTGCCGAGTTCAAGTGATTCTCCTGCCTCAGCCTCCTAAGTAGCTGGCACTACAGGCACACGCTACTACACACAGCTAATTTTTCTATTGTTAGTAAAGACGGGGTTTCACCATGTTGGCCAGAATGGTCTCGATCTCTTGACCTCGTGATCCGCCCGCCTTGGCCTCCCAAAGTGCTGGGATTACCGGTGTGAGCCACCGCACCCGGCCAAGGTTCAATTTTTAATATGTAGAAACAGCAATCACAACAAGAAGGAAGACTCTACAGCCAAGTCCTGGAATGAATTAGTCGTTCCCATCAGGGATGGTGAATTCTAAGCCTCATTCATTCATTCATTCATTCGTTCATTCATTCGTTCAACTCTGGTAAAGCACTGGCTGTGCAGCAGACTCTCGGGAGGTGCCAGGACACGCCCCCCCTCCCCACCCCGGCAGGAGCCACGGGTCTGCCCCAAAAAGGTATGTCTCAAAACAGCCCTAAAGTGACCAATCCTATGCAAGGGGACTTTTAAAACAAAGTGAGATGGAAATGGGAGGGGCAGGGAGGTGAGGCCTGTAATTAACATCTAATTTACTTCTTCTAGCTCTTCTTCAATTTATCAAGGTCTTAAGTGAAGAACATATAGATTCTAACTGCCAGGAAAGATGGATCTTGTGACCTAAAACTTACAGAAAAACCACTCCCCTAGTAAAATCCATCTCACAACAACTCACTTTATCCTTTTAACTAAGAAGAAAGAAAGAAAAGGAAACAAGGAATGAGGCTCAAACTAGCATTGTCTCTAATGTCTAAGTCTCTCATGTCCTTCCTAAATCAAAATACATATTCCACAGTAAGCTAAAAATGATATAAAAGCATTAAATATTTACTGTTCCCATTTGCTATTATTTTTCGCTAGTTACTCAGCTGTAACAGTCACTAACATGCTGAAAAGGAACTTCATGTAAATTCATCACTGGTCTCGACTTTGCCCCCAATACTGTCCTACCCTCATCTTCCCTTGTGTGTAATGGGGCCACAATCCACCCATCTGTTCAAGCCAAACCCTGGAGTCTTAATTCTTCCTGTTCCCTTACCTCCCACACCCTATCCGTCTGTCGGTCCCGTCCAGTCCACCTCCAAAACACACACGCATCTCCTGGCATCCACAATCTATTCCATGTGACACCACCAGAGTGATGGGGACAAATAATCAGACCATGCCACTCCCCCAGTGGCTTCCAGTTGCCCTGGAATGAATCTAAACATCTTGCACAGTGCCCCGACCCTCCAACCGCATTGCCCTCACCCACGTGTGCCAGCCCCACAAGCCTGCAATCCGCACCTGCGGTGAAAAGTGACGGCCGCCGGCCCTGCCCCTGGTGCTTCCTTCCTCCACTGCTCAGCACAGCCAGTCTCAGTTCATCTCCTGACCTCTTTCCCTCCCGCAGCCAGTCTCGGCTCCAGCTCCACCACCATTTTGGAGGGAGTCTCCCAACCTCTTTCCCTCCCATATTCCACTGTCACATCAGTGGCACTGATTACAAACTGAGGGGTCCTGGCTGGGCTATTCCCGCTCCTGCTTCCTACCTGTCATCCCTGATGGCAGGCAGAGACCTTGTGCGACCTGTTTACCACTTGGCCCCACGCTGAGGCCGAGTCAGTGCCCAGGCAGCATGCAGCCTCAGCACATCTTGTTTACTTTAGCGATCAAAAGCTTTATTACAGCCAGGCGTGGTGGCTCATGCCTGTAATCCCAGCACTTTGGGAGGCTGAGGTGGGCGGATCATCTGAGGTCAGGAGTTTAAGACCAGCGTGGCCAACATGGTGAAACCCCATCTCCACAAAAATATAAAAATTAGCCGGGCATGATGGCAGGTGCCTGTAATCCCAGCTAGTCAGTAGGCTGAGGCAGAAGAATTGCTTGAACCCAGAAGGCAGACGTTGCAGTGAGCTGAGATTGTGCCACTGCACTCCAGCCTGGGCAACAGAGTGAGGCCCCGTCTCAGAAAAAAAAAAAAAAAGCTTTATTATTAGACAAACGAAGAAAGTGAGTGGACTATTTCAATAACATTGACCTTTCTTATTAATTCAATCAACATTTACAAAATTCCTGAACTTTTCTTTTCTGTGTGGCAACTGTGAAGATGAAAATATAGTTCCACTGGGGAAACCAAACGAGGGAGTTTATGTGGTGGGAGACGGACAATGTGGCTGTCACGACACATCAATTTCTTTTGTTTGTTTTTTGAGATGGAGTCTCGCTCTGTCGCCCAGGTTGGAGTGCAGTGGTGTGATCTCAGCTCACTGCAACCTCCGCCTCCTGGGTTCAAGCGATTCTCCTGCCTCAGCCTCCCGAGTAGCTGGAACTACAGCCGCCCACCACCATGCCCACCTGAGTTTTTGTATCTTTAGTAGAGACGGGGTTTCACCACGTCGACCAGCCTGATCTCGAACTCCTGACCTTGTGACCCGCCCGCCTTGGCCTCCCAAAGTACATTCCTCTTGATGGGGGGGCAGGGCACAGCCTGGGTGGGAGAGGTGAGGGGTGAAGAACGGGGGCTTTGAGGAAAGGAGATCCACAGAGAGGAGAAACACTTCCAGGTGTGTCTGGGACTAAACGACAACTGTCTGCCTGATTTTCACGTCAGTGCTACTGAGAACTATTTCTAAAGTACACGACTTGTGGGCATGGGGTGGAAGGCTGGATTTAAACTCGATTCTGTGCTCTGGCCGGGCTTATCCACAAGTTGGCTTGGCTTGGCTCAGGGAGCCTGGCATTGCTGTTGAAGAGCAGCAAGATGACCTCACCACGAGCAAAACATCTCATTCCTACGGGCTCCTGAGGCATCCGTCTGTGACCACTGACTTCAACTCTGCGACACAACGCGCTTTCCCTGACGCTGTCAGGCACATGCCATTCATGTGTCTTCGCCACTGCTCATTCCGAAGCATCACAACTTAAAAGGATCGTAACTAAAAAAATCACGTGCTCTCCATCAACCAATGCTCAGAAATATTTTCCCATGCGGCCATCTTGCCATTCTTTTGTCAAAACTGGAAATTACTCTACATTTCTGCGAAGCCTGTAACAAGTTTCAACTTATCACAATCAAGAAAAAAAAAAGTATATCCTCTACGAGTAAATCTCTCAATAAAGAAAAGAGAAGAAATGAGCACAGACCAATGAGCTCTCTTGTCTTCGCCTCCATCTCCCCCAGCAGAGTCTCAGGGTTGGCGCTGGTCTTCTCTTCCTCCACACAGTAAGTTTCTAAAAACTTCTTATATTCTGGATCTAGACATTAAAAAAAACAGAAAGAAAATAAATATAATCTTTCCCATCTACAGGAGAATTACATTTGCTCAGTGTTCTTAATTTGGCAGCTTCATAATGTAGCACTTGGAAAGGGCTCACCATCTTCGATGCTTCCAGTCTTGGCATCTTTTTTTTTCAGCTTCTTTTTGGCTATCTTCTGGAACGGAGCAAACTCTACCACTGCAGGATATTCTAGGCCTTTTAACAGGAAACATGTTCCAGAAGCCATTCTGAAATTCTACTACATTCATTTTGGAAAATAATGACCTAGCTTACTTAAAGAGTAAGTGTAACAATGACAATGTATTATTACTATTTAAACTATAATTCATCCTTCCAGTAAGAGATTAAAAAAAAAACATTTAAAAACCTACAATTACATTTTCAAGCACCTGCAACCTTCACATGGCAAACTCCAGACTAAAACAAGGATGAACTCATGGTAGGAAGAACAATTATTTATTAAACAAAACAATCCATCATGTTGTGGTGGCTGTGTAACTGAATTTGTTCAAAATTCATCAAATTGTTCACTTTAAAAGGGTGACTTCTACCATATATAACTTACACCTCAATAAACCTGACCTCCCCAGCCCCATCCCAAATAATTTATTGTTGGAATACCTTTAAATAATCAGATTTCTTAACTACGTTTTACATTTTATTTTAAAAGGTTAATTCAACTATCAATTTGTTATTTAAGTTTAAGAAAATTACTTTGCTTAGAAGACACCATGGCTAAAATTGAGAGCTTCAAAGGGTTTATAGAATATTCCAGGTGAAATCTGCTTCTGATAAAAGTAGAGAATGGAAGCCATTAGAAACTAACTTTGTTGCTATGTGGGGGAAAAATGAATACACAAAGAGAAATGTTCACTAAGAGAACCTGCTATATGCCAAATCATCAAATGGAACACTGCTACCTTGGTACCAAACCCACTGAGTCATTTTTAGACTTGTCAGTAATGGTGAGGTGACTGAATTATAACTCCCTTATCTGGGAGCCATTTTTGTGCCAACCTCCACTATCCAGAATAAAGTCAGAATCAGGGAGACAGTAGGGCACTGGACCAGCAGGGATGATGTCCAAGTCACCGCTCCACCCACAAGGCCTAGCACACAGTGGATACTCATTCAATGGCAGATGACATAGTCCCTGATTCCAAAGCTAAAAGTAATCAGTGTGGTACTGCCACACAGACAGACACATCCATCGAGGGAATAAAATAAAGAGCCCAGAAAGAAACCTTTGTAATATTTGGTCAACTGATTTTTGAAAAGGGTGCCCAGACCATTCAATGGGGAAAAGAAAGTCTTTTCAACAGCTGGTGCTGGGAAAACTGGATATCCATAGCGAGAAGAACGAAGTTGGACCCTTACCTAACACCATATACAAAAAGTAACTCGAAAGGGATCAAACCTAAATATAAGACCTGAAACCATAAAACACTTAGGAAAAAACACAGGGGAAAAAGCTCCACGGCAATGGATTTGGCAATGGGTTTTTGCATATGACATCAAAAGCACAGGCTTAGGCCGGAGACCATCAAAACAACGGCGGGGCGGCCGTTCACGCCTGTAGCCCAGCACTTTGGGAGGCCAAGGTGGGGGAAATCGCTTGATACCAGCCTGGGCAACTTAGTGAGACTCCGTCTCTATTTAAAAAACTAAACAACAACAACAAAGTAGAACCGGAAATAAGGACTGACTTGCTCACTACTGGTGGGAATGTAAAATGGCACAGTTGCTGTGGAAAACAGTACGGTATAAATTTTGTGACTTTTCTTGAGACAGAGTCTCGCTCTGTCACCAAGGCTAGAATGTAGTGACACCTCGGCTCACTGCAACTTCTGCCTCCCAGGTTCAAGTGATTCTCAAACCTCAGTCTCCCAAGTAGCTGAGATTACAGGCACGCACAATGACGGCTGGCTAATTTTTTTATTTTTAGTAGAGACAGGGTTTTACCATCTTGGCCAGGCTGGTCTCAAACTCCTGACCTCAAGCGATCTGCCCGCCTTAGCCTCCCAAAGTGCTGGGATTACAGGAGTGAGCCATCACACCTGGCCATGTTACATATATTTTACATATACACACACACATATATATACGTACATACACATACGTATTTTTTCACTCCGTCGCCCAGGCTGGGAGGCAGTGGCATGATCTCAGCTCACTGCAACCTCCGCCTCCCGGGTTCAAGCAATTCTCCTGTCTCAGTCTTCTGAGTACCTGGGACTACAGGCGCCTGCCACCACGCCTGGCTAATTTTTGAATTTTTAGTAGAGATGGGGTTTCACGTTGTTGCTCAGGCCGGTCTCAAACTCCTGATCTCGTGATCCACCCGCCTTTGGCCTCCTAAAGTGCTGGGATTACAGGGGTGAGCCACTGTGCCGGGCCCATCAACATTTTTTAAGTGAAAAAGGGAAGCTGAGTAAGTTACTGAATAAATGAGCAATGAACACAAAGGTCAGTTCAAGCATCACATTTGCTTCTGGTCACAGGAACTAGCTTGGCTAATGCTTATTTTGTAACAATCTTTCTAGTCCTTACCCCTCAGTGGAGAAAAAGAAAACACTCATCAGTGTCAAAACGCTTGGAGTGCGAAGAGGGTGGCCGGGGAGGGGAGGGCAGAAAACAACTTGCTGTGAAAGGTACACAAACTTGACAGCCAGGAACACAACAGCAGACAGCCTGACAGGAGAGGAGAAGGGGAAAAGATCAAAGCAGAACCCTAGAAGTACCGGGAAGGGAACTATTGAGATTAGAGGTGAGACTGCTGTCTCCGCAGGCAAAGCTGTTTAACAGCACTCAGTGACTTCCTGGTGACATTGTCATAAATGGTACAGTCATGAAGGGTGCTGTTTAGGAAGATAGAAGTCAGTATACATTTTGGAAAATTCCTATCAAACAGGTAAAATAATTTAGTTTTAAAACCCAAAAAGATAAAGTTCTCTCATGCAAAAAACTCACTCATGAAACCTTCATTCTCTGATAATACATAAATAGACTGTCACTATTACACAGAATTTCTGGGATTTTTTTGGTTTAAATAACAAAATTAAATAATTTCAATTTTTAATATCTGCACATAATTACAGTAACATAATCAAAATTTATCATCTTACTTTAGTCTGAGAACTTTTTAATTACAACGCACAAACAGACCAGATGCTGTGGCTCACACCTGTAATCGCAGCACTCTGGGAGGCTGACGTGGGAGGATCACTTGAAGCCAGGAGTTCAAGACCAGCCTGAGCAACACAGTGAGACCCCTGTCTCTACAAATTTTTTTTTTTAAATCAGTCGATCATGGGGGCACACGCCTGTGGTCCCTGCTACCTGGGAGGCTGGAGGATATCTTGAGCCGGAGTGTGAGGCTGCAGTGAGCCGTGATTGTGGCTGCTGTACTCCAGCCTGGGCAACAGAGCAAGACCCTGTCTCTAAAAATAATAATAATAAAAACACGGATATTCTAGCAATACTTCATTAGTATACCTAGAGATTATAATAGATTTTTTAAAACCAATAATCCAACCTTTGCTGTCAAGGAAGATATATCCATCAAAACGATCTCTAAAAAGAAGGATGTCATCAGGATTCCTAAAATTAATGTATGCTCTTGAGTAGAGATGAGGATAAAGACTGAAATAAGAGATAACAGTGAAAATGGTTAGTGAAAAATACAATACTCCATTGTTTTCGCCTCTTTTTCCTTTTCTGGGCACAACAAACTACTTTAGATAAAACTTTTGTGCCAAATCATCTCAGTTAATTGTAACAATCTGAATATTCTTTAGCAAAAACAAATGCAGAACGTTAACTTTACGAGGCAGAACTCAGGTCCCTTCTGCACTGCCCAGAACCGGTCCTCGGAGGCTGAAACCCTAAGGCAAAGCCAGGGCGCACTCCCAGAGGAACCCGTGGCGCCGGGGACCCTCTCCGGTATTTAGAGCCGCACTGGCTGTGGCACCGGCGTGGAGGCCACAGGACGAGCCGGCGCCCTCCCGCCCCGTCCCGTCGCGCCCCGTCCGCGTCCGAGAGGCCCGGGAGGCGCCGGGCGGGCAACGCTGGTCCTTTCAAAGGCACCCGTTTTCCTAAGCGTTAGCCGCCTGAAAATCATCCGCATTTCTAATGCAAACCACATCTGTCTCCTTGTTGCTGGTATTTTTCTTTGAAAGGACTTACACGTTTTACTGAAATGTAATTTATTCAAAAAGTTCACACGACTCCCATAAAGGAGAAATCACGGTAAGGAACTTAAGGCAACGAGAAGGCCAGCGGCGCAGAGCTCTGGGTTCTGCCCTCTCCTCCTCCTCCTCGCTTCGGGGCGGGCCTCACCTCAGGTCGGCGGCGAAGAACTCGAAGTAGTCGTGCGCTGGCAGCGGGCGCAGCTGCTCCTCCAGCTGCTCCTTGGTGAGGCCCGGGGGCAGGCGGCGGATGACCACCTGCGGGGAGCGCGCGGCCGTTCCCACCGCAGCGGGGCGTGGACATGGAGCTCCGGAGGGACCGCGCACCGCTCCTCCCCCCTCCCGGCCCGCCCCCCCCCTCCCCCCCCCCCTCCCCTCCCGGCCCCGCCCCGCCCCCTCCCCTCCCGGCCCCCCGCCCCCTCCCCTCCCGGCCCCCCGCCCCCCCCCCCCCCCCCCGCCCCCCCCCCGGCCCCGCCCCCTCCCCTCCCGGCCCCGCCCCGCCCCCTCCCCTCCCGGCCCCGCCCCCTCCCCTCCTCCTCCGCTCAGGACCATCCTCTCCTCGCGAGGTTTGCGCGCCCCGCCCCCGTCCCCACCTTACTCAGCGCCGTCCTCTTCTCCTCGCGAGGTTTGCCCGCACCGCCCCCGCAACCGGAGGACGAGGTTGGCTGCGTCTCAGCTTCCCGCTGCGGCGAGTCGCGGTGGAACTGTACTTCTAGGGCCGACAGCTTTTCCCTCCCGCACGGTCCCCGCGCGGCAACGGCCGCCCTAGGGCCTCCGGCCCCCTCCTTTTCCGAGCGCATCCCGCACTCTCCGCGGAGCCGCAACCGTCAGCCCTCGACGAAACCTCGCGAGAGCTCGACAGCCCCCGCCCCGCCCCTCCTCGGGCTGCGATGCTCGGGGCCGCCCACGAAGGGGCCGGGAAGCTGCGGGACGGGTCGGGGTCGGGGTCGGGGTCGGGGTCGTGACCTCCGGCCACACAGCCTAGCTCTCCGCGGGGCCGGGCGGACCCTCAGGGAGCGGCGGCCGAGGTTTAGGGCGGCCCCGGAAGCAGAGCGCCGGCGGCTTTGGTCTGGTCGTGGTGAGAGGAGATCGCGGACGAGCCGCCTTCCCAGCCCAGCACCGTTTTTATCCCCCTCCCCCAGGCTCTCTGTGGCCGGGGCTCCATCAGAGCTGGGTTGGCATTTGAACGTTTTTTTTGTTTGTTTGTTTTTTTTTGAGACAGTCTCACTCTGTCGCCCAGACTGGAGTGCAGTGGCGCGATCTCGGCTCACTGCAAGCTCCGCCTCCCGGGTTTACGCCATTCTCCTGCCTCAGCCTCCCGAATAGCTGGGACTACAGGCGCCCGCCACCTCGCCCGGCTAGTTTTTTGTATTTTTTAGTAGAGACGGGGTTTCACTGTGTTAGCCAGGATGGTCTCATCTCCTGACCTCGTGATCCACCCGTCTCGGCCTCCCAAAGTGCTGGGATTACAGGCTTGAGCCACCGCGCCCGGCCTTTTTTTTGTATTTTTAAAGCAGAGACGGGGTTTCGCCATGTTGGCCGGGATGGTCTCGATCTCCTGACCTCGTTATCCGCCTGTCTCGGCCTCCCAAAGTGCTGAGATTACAGACGTGAGCCACCGATCCGGGCCCTTGCACGTATTTTCTTATGAACACACAGGTAGCAGCACTTTGATTACAGTAATTTATATGGAAGTTATTTTAAAATGACTTTCCCCTTCTGTTCCTCATGTAGGCTGTATATTTCATCTGCAGCACGCTTTCTCCCAAGAATCTCAAGCACACACAGGAAACCAGAGAATAACATCACTGAGGCTTGAACACATCCAGAGACCAAGGGCGACACTGGCAGAAAAGCTTTTAGGCGGATCCACAGGCCCGAGAGCCACCCCGCCCAGAGACGTGGCTTCCTATGAGCAGTTCACACGCGGCTCTGCAGCACCCACAAGCGGGGCCAGGGGCTGGTTTTCGTAGTTCACAGTCTGCAGGGATCTTAGCAAAAATATGGCCGTGGTAAAAGTGCCTAGACCAGGCTCAGTGAGTAGGAAGACTAGTTAGGCTGATGAAAAGCTCTGATGATGTGTGTGATTAAAAGTAGGAAAATGTGGTTGCCAGATAAAATATGTTACCATATAGTGAGGGGCAGAATGTGGAAACCATTTATTTTAAATGTTTGTTCCTGCAGTGTTTAAAATATAGGAGATATATTCTGATTATAAAGAAACTGCTCTCGGCCGGGCGCGGTGGCTCACGCCTGTAATCCCAACACTTTGGGAGGCCGAGACGGGTGGATCACAAGGTCAGGAGATCGAGACCATCCTGGCTAACACAGTGAAACCCCGTCTCTACTAAAAATACAAAAAATTAGCCGGGTGTGGTGGTGGGCGCCTCTAGTCCCAGCTACACGGGAGGCTGAGGCAGGAGAAGGGCGTAAACCTGGGAGGCGGAGCTTGCAGTGAGCTGAGATCCGGCCACTGCACTCCAGCCTGGGCGACAGAGCGAGACTCCGTCTCAAAAAAAAAAAAAAAAAAAAAAAAACTGCTCTCAATCTATTTGTATGTCTTCCCTCTAGTTTTAAAATATTAAACAATTAACTCAATATTTAATTTTACCTCTAGTCATGTTATTAGGCTGGGATAATAAAAAGGACTGTTGAACTTCACATCTGCCATCTATAACACATTCTTAATGAAGCAATCTTGCACCAGGGGATTTATCAACTCTGCCAAATTTCCTAAAATTACCAAATGGAGAAAAAAGAGCTGGTCCCGCCTCTCACCAGGCACAACCAGGTACAGTAACTTAGGGTATTTCTTGTGTTCGTGTTTTGCCCTCACCACTGCAAAGACCTGTTCTTGGCTGAAGCCAGGTTGGCCTCAGCCAACGTGAGGGAGCCTTCATTTGACCTTCCCCAGAACCGTGAGCATTTCCACTTCTCCCTTTACTGCACTGTATACATAAAGGGACTCATGTTTGCTGGATGTGTATATTTTGTAAACCTAGCTAGCAAAATGTCCAAATGTTTCTTCCCCCCAAGTCAATTTTTTAACACCTGATTCATTACTTCCTGTTATTGCAAAGTTCTGAAAAATGATTTTGAAAAAAAGGATTTTAGAATTCAGCTGTTTGATGAAATTATCTTTAAATAAAATCTTACATGAATTTTAAGATACAGTGAATGAAATACACTTGTAAAATAGTTTGATTTTACATGACAAATTATATCATAAAGAAAATCTAGCTTCCTACACATTAGCCAGCCTGTTGAAATGTTCTGTTTGATACATGTAGAGAACTTTACAGCCAAAGCAAAGCAGTAAGAAATAATCTCCAAACCTTTCTTCATGTGGGCTGTATACTATGTAACTTTACTTTTGCTTAACTGAACACTTCCATCTGTGAATGTGGCCCCGGGCTACATTTTACTTGGTAGCCCCTATCTCATTGGTAGATGACAGTGACTTGAAGAAGCTGGTGACCATAACACTTCCAAGTATTTCCCTTAAGGATAACATGGCCACTGTAGTTAGCGAGAAGGACACCTTTTTAGGAGAAACTTGTCATGAGATACTGAAGAACTGGGTAGTAACAGGAACAATACTTGGCAGTATGATGACACATTGTTTTTACTCTCAGGAGGCCTAAACACTGATGTTAGCACTGCTGCTAATCTGAATTACAGCTTAGTCAAGTGTCTGAACCCTTTGCATTTTGTGTCGTAAAGCACTGTCAACAGAGTAATGGCTCACCTACCGGACATTCACTTACAGAAACCAAAAAAATCCTAACAGTGATCAGTGAGAAAACTAAATGGTTTTCTTTTTTTTTTTCCTCTGGCAGGAAAAATAAATGTAAAAACTCAGCACTTTATTAATATAATACTTTCATTTTAGTTGTTTTAAAAATAATTAAGTTCAGTCACTTGATTTTCTACCCCCAACTCAAGACAGGGGAGGCACACATGATGCCTGACAGAGAGACAGAAAAGCCATTTAAAAATGAAAACAAGAAAACACATTAGTTTGAGTCTAATTTAGCATGGGGTAACTCGTGGTCTCTAAGTGTATTACTGTGTTAACTTCCAGCACAGTATCTGACTTTCACTGTGATGACTGCAGACAGGATGGGGTCTGAACGCTGGTCTTCAGCGCACCATACAACAGTGCTAGACCCTCAACTGTATGAAGGGGAAGAAAGCCCTCCTTAAAAGATTTACTGGAGTTAACACCTGGGGATCCTCAAGAAATGAACGCTACCACTGTTCTGCTTCAGAAGGTAGAAATACAGGGAATACACTTTAGATAGGTTAAGATAAAAAGTTTTGTGTTTAAGGCAGTTCGGTTGCCTGGAAAATTCACTTCTGTATAATGCCTAATTTGTTAATGATGCTGTGAGTAGATGCTTTGTAGTAACTATACAAGTTTGTTTTTCTTTTATGAAAAAGTAGAGTAATGTGTCCTCTGACGTTAGGAGTAGGAGCGTTTGAATAAAGGACTTTAAACCAATGAAGCATATAATCCTCTCTCTTTATTAGAATGACGAAAAGAGTGGCGGCGGTGTTTGCTTGTACAGTTATCACCTAGGAGTCATATCAAGATTCTAAAATAGTTTGATTTTACATGACAAATTATATCATAAAGAAAATCTAGCTTTATGATTTTCTGTTACAATGGCTGTTCGATTCTTTGAGCTTTTTAAAGCATCACAAATGTATTAATGTTTATTATCTTAAATACTATGACTTTCAAAAGTAAAACTGAATTTTGATAAGTATTGCAAACAATTTTATATGACTATTATTTAGCTATAGTTTTTTTTTTCTTTTTTGAGACAGTCTCGCTCTGTCCCCCAGACTGGAGTGCAGTGGTGCAATCTCAGCTCACTGCAAGCTCTGCCTCCCGGGTTCCCGCCATTCTCCTGCCTCAGCCTCCCGAGTAGCTGGTACTACAGGCTCCTGCCACCACACCTGGCTAATTTTTTGTATCTTTAGTAGAGACGGGGTTTCACTGTGTTAGCCAGGATGGTCTCGATCTCCTGACCTCGTGATCTCCCTGCCTCGGCCTCCCAAAGTGTTGGGATTACAGGCGTGAGCCACCATGCCCAGCCTATAGTTTTTTTTTAAATATGACTAATATTTAAAGAGAGCAGTGACATCATAGAAAACGGCAGGGCAGGAAGCTTCGAGGATTGAATTGATTGGTTCTTCTCCAAAACCACCATTAAGCTGGACAAAAAATTAGCAGAATCAACTGTTTTCTAACTCTGTCACCTCATCAGATGCTTACTGCAACCCGGGGAAGGCTTGATGATGCAGAGGCTGCAGCTTTTTGGTTCAGAGGGTGGTGTGGATGGACAGCCTATGTACCTGCTGCAGCCTGTCCTCAGCGAGGACCCTGTGCATTTTGGTCATATAATGGTGCCCTGAGGGACCAGCGTAGATGCGTGCCTTTGTCTCGACCCCTTAGGCTGCAGCAATTTCCCCAATACCATCTGTCAGAAAATTTAGAGACATACACTTTAAAAAAAGAAAAAAAACACGAGGTCAAGAGATCGAGACCATCCTGGCTAACACAGTGAAACCCCATCTCTAGTAAAAAATACAAAAAACTAGCCAGACGAGGTGGCGGGAGCCTGTAGTCCCAGCTACTCGGGAGGCTGAGGCAGGAGAATGGTGTGAACCTGGGAGGTGCAGCTTGCAGCTAGCTGAGATCGCACCACTGTGCTCCAGCCTGGGCGACAGAGTGAGACTCCGTCTCAAAAAAAAAAAAGATCCAGATATTGGGCCAGCCACGGTTACTCATGCCTGTAATCCCAGCACTTTGGGAGGCTGAGGCGAGAGGATCATCAGAGCCCCTGAGTTCAAGACCACCCTGGGTAACATAGTGAGACTGCGTCTCTACAAAAATAAAAATAAATAAATTAGCCAGGCATGGTGGTGCATTCCTGTAGTCCTAGCTACTTGGGAGGCTGAGGCGAGAGGACCCCTTGAGCCAAGGAGTTAGAGGCTGTAGTGAGCTATGATCATGCCACTGCACTGTAGCCTAGGTGACACAGACCTCATCTCAAAAAAAAGAAAAGATCCAGACACTTAAGGAAATCTCCGTCAGGTTACAGGCTGACCAGAGAGACAATAAAAAGACCAGGAACCTCAGGAATACAGACTTTGCAAAAATAACTTGGAAAATTCACTACACAAATGAACTGCAGCCCTCAACATGTAATAGAAGCAATCCTTGAGGAAAGGGATACTGTGATTTCCAGAGCTACTGCAGTGTCATATTCAAACTGTACAGTTCTCAACACAAAATTACAAAGCACACAAATAAAATGGAAAATATGGCTGACTTATGGGAAAAAAAGAATATGACAGAAACTGTCCCTGAGGAAGCCCAGATATTAGAATTACTAGTCAAAGATGTTCATCAACTGTATTAATATGCTCACAGGGCTAGCAGAAACCCTGGAAAATGGACTAAAGGAACCAGGAGAGTGATGTATGAACAAACAGAAAATGTGAACAGAGACAGAAATGATAAAAAGGAACCAAACAGAAACTCAGGAACTGAAAAACACAACAGCTGAGATCACAGCATTCACTGGAAGGATTCAGCACAGACTTGAGCAGGCAGAATTAGCAAAGGTGAAGAGAAGGCAGTTGAACTTATCCAGTCTGAGGAGCACAAGAACAGAACCTATGGGACACCATCAGAAATACCAACACACACATATAGGAATCCCAACGAGAGGAAAAGGGCAAACAAACAAAAACAACAACAAAAAAAACCCTAAAGAAATAATGGCCGGAAAGTGAGGAAGCACATCAAAAGCCAAAATCGGCCAAATGCAAGGCCTCTCGCACCAAACAGTTGGTCAAGTTGTGAATGCAAAGGAAAAGTTATTGAAGGAAATTAAAAGTGCTTCTCCATTGAACACACAAAAGAAAGTGAAACAGCCTCATTGCTGATAGGGAGAAGGTCTGAGTGATCTGGATACAAGACCAAACGAGACACAACATTGCTGTAAGCCAGCCTAATCCAGAGCAAGACCCTAACTCTCTTCAATTCTATGAAGGCTGAGAGAGGCGAGGGAGCTGCAAAAGAATAGGTAGAAACTAGCAGAGACTTTTCATGAGGTTTAAGGACAGAAGCCATCTCCACAACATAAAAAGTGCAAGACGGAACAGCAATTGCTGATGGAGAAGCCATTTAGATGGTCTAGCAAAGATCATTAATGAAGATGGCCACATTAAACAGCAGATAATCAAGGCAGACAAAACAGCCTTATATTGGAATATGATGCCATCTAGGACTCTCATAGCTGAAGAGGAGTCAATGCCTTGTTTCAAAGGACAGGCTGACTTGTGAGGGGCTAATGCAGCTGGAGGCTTTAAACTAAAGCCAATGCTCATTCACATTTTGAAGAAAATCTGAGAGCTAAGTCTATTCTGCCTGTGCTTTAAAAATAGAAAAAGTTTAGGTGACAGCACCTCTGTTTACAGTATGGTTTACTATTTTAAGCCTACCCTTGAGACCTACTGTTCAGAAAATGATTCCTTTCAAAGCATCACTGCTCATTGACAATCTGACAATGCACCTGGTCACCCATGAGCTCTGTGGGAGATGTACAAGACGAATGCTGTTTGCATGCTGCTAACACATCCATCTGCAGCTCACGGATCAAGGAGTCATTTTGAATTTCAAGTCTTATCTTTTAGGAAATACGTTTTGTAAGGCTATAGCTGCCATAGAGTGATTCCTCAGACGGATCTGGGCAAAGAACACAGAAAACTTTCGGGAAAGGATTCACCATTCTAAATGCCATTAAGAACATTTGTGATTCATGAGGAGTGGTCAAAATGGGAGTTTGGAAGAAGTTGCTTGCAGCATGTGGTGATCTAATAGCAAGATAACTAAAATTAGAAGTGGAGCTGGGCGTGGTGGTGTGTGCCGGTAATCCCAGCTACTTGGGAGGCTGAAGTGAGAGGGCTTCTTGAACCCAGGAGTTCGAGATGAGCCTGGGCAACACATAAGACTCTGTGTCAAAAAATATACAAATAAATAAAAAAGAAATAAAATCTAAAAATGGAGCCTAAAGATGTGACTGAATTGCTGCAATCTCATGATAAAACTTTAATAGATGAGGAGTTGCTCTCTATGGATAAGCACAGAAAATAGTTTCTTAAAACGGAATCTACTCCTGGTGAAGATACTGAACATTGCTGAAACAACAACAAAGGATTTAGAAGATTCCATAAATTTCGCTGATAAAGCAGCGTTGGGGTTTGAGAGGATTAACTCCAGTTTTGAAAGACGTTCTACTGTAATACGTTGTCAAACAGCATCACATGCTACAGAGAAATCTTTCATCAAAGAGTCAATCAATGCAGCAAACTTCACTGTCTTATTTGAAGAAGTTACCAGTCAGTCACCCCAGCCTTCAGCAACCATCATCATCAGCCACCCACATGGAGGCAAGACCCTCCGTTAGCAAAAAGATTACAACTTGCTAAGGGTTTCAATGTTAAAGGCATTTTTTTAACAATAAAGTGTTCTCTCTTTTTTTTTATTTTTATTTTTAGATGGAGTCTCACTCTGTTGCCCAGGCTGGAGTGCAGTGGTGGGTGTGCTGTCCAGCTCACTGCAATCTCTGCCTCTGGGGTTCAGGTGATTCTCCTGCCTCAGCCCCCCAAGTAGCTGGTATTACATGCACGTGCCACCACGCCCGGCTGATTTCTGTATTTTAGTAGAAACAGGGTTTTGCCATGTTGGCCAGGCTGGTCTCGAATTCCTGAAAGTATTTTTAAATTAAGGTGTGTACACTGTTTTTTGGACATAATGCTATTACGTACTTAATAGACTACAGTATAAACGTAACTTTTATATGTACTGGGAAACCAAACAATTTGTGAAACTTGTTTTATTGTGATATTTGCTTTATTTCGCCAGTTTGGAACCAAAACTGCAATGTCCCCAAGACATGCCTGTAGGTACACCAGTCCATACTGATAAATGACTGAATAAACAGGAGAGAAGAAACAAATCTTCAAGAAGAATAACATGCACAGATACTGCTCTCTCCCGGGGTTGGAGCTTAAACCTCCTCAACCCACAGAGTATGGAAAGGGAAAAGCAGGAACTTGACAGTGGAGAAACCTGGCAGACACCACTGTGACCAGGTGGCCAAGGTGAGCACTGCCTGGGATAGGTGATGTGGTGGTTACAACCACCCAGCAGGATGTGATGCGAAAGGTGCTTGAGAAACATCAGACCAACTCCAATGGAGGGACATTCTTCAGACTGCCTGGCCAGTACTCCTCAGAACTGTCAGGGTCATGAGACACAAGGGAAGTCTGAGGAACTGTCACAGGCGAGAGACCGCAAAGGAGACGGGATGACTAAATGTAGTGTGTGCCTGGATGGGACTCTGGGACAGAAAGCAGACATTAGGGAAAAACTGGTGAAATCCAAATAAAGGCTGGATTTTAGTTAATGGTAACTACCAACGTTGGTTTCTTAGTCATGACAAATGTTCCATGGTAACGTAAGAGGTTAACAATGGGGGAAACTGGGTGAGGGGCACATAGAAGCTCTCTGTACTCTCTCTGCCATTTTTCTGTAAATCTCAAATTAGACCAAAATAAAAGTTTATTGGAAAAGAAAAATAAAAAAAAAGACATTAACAGATGGTTTACCTTCTTTATTCCACTATGTATAACTATTTTGTAGGTTCAGAGAATCAGAACACATCTGTTGCAAAGGTGTGCGATCCAGTCTCTTAAGGCGGGTCTCTGTTCCTAAATGTAGAGATGCAGTTTGGAGTCACGTTAGGAAGTGGGACGTTCTTAAGCCATGGAGAGGATGGGAGAGAATACTAACCTACAGCGGGACCAGGACCACTGACTGGAGTCACGTGCTGTGGTCTGACATAGACGTCTCTAACATCATGTCACTTTCATTCATTTCAATTTCAAAGGTTTCTTCCAAGGAAGGTCTGGAATCTGGAGTTTTCCTTGAGGTTTCCAATGGCGTAAGCCCCGTTTCTTCTGCAGTCTGTTTTTCTACTTCAAATTCCCTGAAATCCCACGGAGGTGAAATAATGTTTTTTAGTGTCTTCATTGTATGCACATCAAAGTCATAACATTTTAATTTGTCTTTAATGTCTGCTCCTAAAAAGAAATACTATAATTAGAATAAAATAAGAAATTCCATCATTTATCATTTCTATTGTTATATAACACCATCTCTATCATTTAAGTCACATTATACTATTTAGAATAAAATATAAAACTCCATCATTTATCTATCATTTCCATCATTATACACCATCTCTATCATTTAAGTCAAATTATACTTTTAAGAGCACAAGTTGAGAGCAGAAGGAAAACAACATTCCAATCTTTTCTTTTTCATTTGTTTTCCACCATTTGCAATGGAGGTGTCAGGAGACTTTTAGAAGCACAGGCAGTTGCAACTCCAGGGTTTCAACAGCTGCCCTATTTCCAAGGCCTCCTAAATACGGATGAGGCCTGTGGGCAACTTTTTCCTCTGCTGTTACAGATAAGACCTGCATTGTGTGGCCGCGAGGGGTGGCTCACACCTGTAATCCCAGCACTCTGGGAGGCCGAGGTGGGCAGGGAAATTGAGACCATCCTGGCTAACACGGTGAAATCTCGTCTCTACTAAAAAAAAATACAAAAAAATTAGCTGGGTGTGGTGGTAGGCGCCTGTAGTCCCAGCTACTCAGGAGGCTGAGGCAGGAGAACGGCGTGAACCTGGGAGGCGGAGCTTGCAGTGAGCTGAGATCGTGCCACTGCACTCCAGCCTGGCTGACAGAGCTAGATTCCGTCGCAAAAAAAAAAAGAACTGCTGCGCCCACTGGGTATAGTCACCAATCTTATGCACACAGAAGCCACAATGAAATAAAATTCATTTCCCATATATTAAAACCTTAAGGGTGATATAAATTTGAACAGATCTGAACAGATATATTAGGTACAATCATTCGACATAAACAAAATGAGTTTTACACAGTTCAAACCAATAGCTTTCAGGAATAGGTAGTTTGGCAGATAATGACATGCAAACCTTCTAGAAATAAAAATGACATGAATGGTAAATCTCTTCTGCAAGGTCAAGGAGACGTCCCTCTGACTCATTATCAACTCTCCAGCCTTTATTTAGCTTCCTATGAACTTGCCTTGAACAAATGACGAAACTAAGGCTCAGACTTGCCTTTCTTGCCACAGGGCTGCCGAGGGGCAGAGCTGAGGTTTCAACCCAACATCTCTAGGAAACCAGAGTTTACATTTGTTTTTTTAAAATTGAGCTAAAACCAAGAGTCAAGTGTGAATCTCCTTAAGCACGCGACTGAATGAACGCTACGTACATGCATCCCACATGACCACCGCCAGAAGGGCACAGAACACGCACAGCTCCTTAAGACCACCCTGTGCCCACTCATGGTCAATACTGCCAGCTTTCCCAAGCCTGAAGTAAGCACTATATGGACTTTTCTATCACTGCCAATTAGTTTTGTTCATTACTAACTGATATGGTTTGGATCCGTGTCCCACCAAATCTCAGGTTGAATTGTAATCCTCTATGTTGGAAGGTGGGGCCTGGAGGGAGGTGATTGGATCATGGGGGTGGTTTCTCCTGAATGGTTTAGTGCCATCCTCTTGGTGCTGTTCTCGTGACAGTCAGTTCTAGTTGTTTAAAGTCTGTGGCACCTCCTCCCTTTCTCAATCCCTCCTGTTCCAGATATGTGAAGTGGTGGCTCCCCACTTAGCCTTCTGCCATGATTTCAGGTTTCCTGAGGCCTCCCCAGAAGCCAAGCAGATGCCAGCATCATGCTTCCTGGATAGCCTGCAGAACTGTGAGCCAATTACACTTCTTTTCTTATAAATTACCCAGGCTCAGGTATTTCTTTATAGTAACGCGAGAATGGACTAATACACTAATCTTATAAATGGAAGTAATCAGTAGATATTCATATTTTTGTCAAAAATCTGTGAAATTTGCCAGGCGTGGTGGCTCACGCCTGTAATCCCAGCACTCTGGGAGACCGAGGCAGGCAAATCACCCGAGGTCAGGAATTCAAGACCAGCCTGGCCAACGTGGTGAAACCCCATCTCTACTAAAAATACAAAAACTTAGCTAGGTGGGGTGGCATGCGCCTGTAATCCTAGCTACTCGGGAGGCTGAGGCAAGAGAATTGCTTGAACCCAGAAGGCAGAGGTTGCAGTAAGCTGAGATTGCACAACTGCACTCCAGCCTGGGCGACTGAAACTCCCTTTCAGAAAAAAAAATAGTAATAATTAAAAATTTTTAAAAATCTGTAAAATTGATCCATGTTTCTAAATGATTCAGTAGTATGAACATGCCACAATTTATTTCTCCTCTCTCCTACTGGTGGACGTTTGAGTCATTTCCAGTTAGGTGCTATTATGAATAAAGCTATGAATACTCTTGTTTGTGACCTTTAGTGGACAGAAGCACTTGCTTCCGTTGGGCTCACACCTGGGAGCACAACTGCTACATCACAGAATCAGTATGGTCAATCATCACCCTCATACCCACTCCAATGAATCACACCTCCCAGCACCCTCACCCTGGTACAGCCCCTCCCACAGTGACTCTGAGCTTATGAGACTTGTACTGACGGAACCGAACGTGATGGAAGTGATGTTGTGCAACTCTGAATTTTCAAGAGGTCCTGAACTTCGGTTCTTGTCCTTTAGAACCCTGAGAACATCGTGCTACAAAGAAACCTAAGATGAAAGCCCCAGAGAAAGAGACTTAGCACCCAAGCTGAGCTCCCTACTGGAAAATGATACCATTTTAGACCATCTACCCAGTCAAGTATCTGCTAACCACAGCTGCATGAGTAAACCCAGAGAAGACCCACAAATGGGTCACTCAACCCACAGAATTGTAAAAATAACACATTGTTGGTTGAGGTTTTGGAGTGGTTAGGCAGCAATAGAGAACTGATATAATAGGCTTAGCTTTACTATGATGTTAAGCAGTTTTCCAAAAAGTCTTTACCCTTTTATAACCCACTAGTAGTCAATCTACGAGAGTTCCAGTTGCTCCACATCACACCAATACCACATACTGTACTTTTAGCCATTCTGGTGGGTGTGTACTGGTTTCTCACTGTGGTTTTATTTATATTACTTTTTTGAGACAGGGTTTTCACTCTGTTGCTCAGGCTGGAGTGCAGTGGTGTGATCGCTGCAGCTTTGATATCCTGGGCTCCAGTAATCCTCCAGCCTCACCCTGAGTAGCTGGCACTAGAGGCACACACCATCACTATGGTTTTAATTTCATTTCCCTGATAAGTAATGATGTTGAGTGCCTTTATTTGCTTCTTAACTGAGGCAGAATAGGGTCTAAAGACAGGGCGCCTTCACTTCAGCCTCTGATTGGTCACAGTCTTCATTTGCATAGGGTGTAACTTCACTTCAGCCTCTGATTGGCCACAAACCAATCCTTCATTTGTATAGGGTGTGACCAACAGGAAACCCCTAAGGGTACTTAAACCCCAGCTGGGGCTCATCAGCTACTTGCTGAAGCCGGCTCCCACTCTGTGGTGTGTGCTTTCACTTCAATACACCTATGCTTTTGTCTTCCACTGCTTTGTGTGTTTTGTTCAATCTTTTTTCACCATGCCAAGAACCTGGACGACTTGTAGTGAAGACCTTCCACACCAGTAACATATTTTGGTGAGCCAGTCAGGAGGTAAGCCCAAATTTTGGGATTTATTTTTCTTTTATTTTTCCCTTTTTCCTCTCTAGAGAGCCTTCATTTGTGGGCATGAGCTGGAGCTATCGCCATGTGGCGATAGCTGTATACAGGGGAACTCCCCGCCTCGCTATTTCCCTTTTCCAACTCGGGATCCTCAGTGGATAGCACCTAAGCACAGAGACAACTGCGGGTCTCTGGCTGGGGACACTCTGGTGAAGTGAAAGATTTCCGTGTGGAAGTGCCTGGCCACCACTGCCCAGTTTGGATGAGGGACCCAAGTCCTTTTCTTGTTTTCAGTCTTTCAGTGGCCATTTCCTACCTAATTGCTCCTTGATAACTGAGGGCAACTGGCTGGGGTTACCTAAATTTCTTGAGGTTCTCCTTGGAGGAATGAGAGAGTACCTAAGGCAGTAAACTATGATAAATTAAGGGAGGTTACACAGGACAAGGAGAAAAATCCAGCCATGTTTCATGGCAGGCTGGAGGAGGACTTTAAAAACATACCAATCTGGACCCTTCCTCTCCCAAAGACAGTGTTGAGCCCTCTTTTATTCCTAGTATTACTACTTTTGGTATGAACTTTCTTTTTTAGTGATTATGTAGAAGTTTATACATTCTAGTGACTGCTTTAAACAACCTATATTGTATCATTTTCAAGCCCACAGAAATGTATAAGGCATATAATTTTGACACTTTTCAATTATTTTTAAGGTTATAAGCATGTAAAATACTGTTAATATATATAAGAATATGCATAACTACCGATATATAGGTTTATTTTTTTTTTGAGATGGGCTCTGTCACCCAGGCTGGAGTACAGTGGTGCAATCTTGGCTCATTGCAACCTCTGCCTCCCGGGTTCAAGTGATTCTCCTGCCTCAGCCTCCCGAGTAGCTGGGACTACACACGTGTGCCAGTATGCCTGGCT